TTCCTCAGATTGCTTTGCTCCCGGATAAATGCGGCAAAATGAGTGAATGGTGGGTATACAACATGGTGTTTCTTCGTGAAACCAATAGCAGAACTAGTCCACTTGTCCTGCAGAAAATAAGGCAGCTTACACACCAGCGGAGTTACACCAGACGAGGAGTTGTAGTAAGCCGAGTGTCTCTAGCTTTGGCTCTAGCATGAGGGCTTCGATTTCACTCACTAAATCTGCAAAGTCATAGAGAACCTTGATATTGTTAGACAAGATTTTTGGGAAGCTTTTGACCCGCAGTTTTATCGATGACTCGACCATTTCTGCACTTCCAAATCGCTCCTCGAGGCGTTCCCAAGCACGAAGTAACCCTAGGCTAGGGTTACCTGCTGATGCTGACTTGATACTCAAAATCTGCTGCTTGCAGCTGGGTCCACTCCATTTGAGTAGTAGATCTAACTCCTCGGAGTTATTCACATCCAGTTCTTCCATAACGCTTTTGACCGTTGCTTTCCAGGTTCGGTACGACTCGGGCGTTCCGTCGAAAACATAGAGCCGGGAGATCGTCAGGTCCTTCCGCATCAAGTATTGCGTGAGTTGTCGAGTATTTGGTAGTGGATCACAATTCGCTCTGTGTGTGAGCGAGTTTACTTGTACAGGGTCCTGTCTCCGAGAATAAACCTGTGTGTTGTAATTATCTGTTTCTGGCAGATAGTGTCTCACTTCTGCACGTACCTCGGGAGAGGAGTAGACGTCACCTTGGGACTTCTCCGGAAACACGTGTCGGCGTATCTTGTCATCATCCCCTCGATCCTGTTCTGTGAACTCCCTAGCGAGTGGGTTGAGATGAACGTCTGTGTTATCAGGAGTTCCGTGGATGTACGCTGCTGTACGAGTTTTAGGATCTGCTGCGGGAAGGTTCAATAAGCTTGCACCACGAGACTGACCCTCGACAGACGATTCTAGGGCTTGCACTTCCGCTTCATTTGCGGCGACTTCCTTTTCCTGGGCAAGAAGAAATAGTTCGAGTGCTGACTCTTCCTTTCTCTGTTGTGCAGCTCTGTCAGCAACGATTTGTTGTTTACGCATTGCCGCTTCCTTTTGTGCATACTCCAGTTTCACACGAGCAGCACAAACTGCTGCCTTTTTTATGGCAAGTACAAATGATACTGAAGACCTTTTGGAGGAAGTAGTGGATGCATGTGGAGTTGTCGAATGATGGGACATGGCTTCCAGTAACTGAGAACTTCTATTAGATATCTGCTCTCTAGCAGACTCCAACTTGGTAACAAACTGTCTCANTATAACTGCGAACATCGAGAATTTCCTCTCAACCCGCAACCGAAATTGAAACTAAAACCAAAACAAGGACGACTATATAGCTACCAATGTGGTATGATTCACATTCAGCTAAATCCAACAATTATACGATTTTCAGTTCGTACTCACTGGTACTAGTGGTAGCTAGTAGTAGTACTAGTAGTAGTATTACTATTAGTAAGGCTGAGAGGGTCTATGTCCCCTGGGGTACTGCCGGAACGTACCCTGGGTACGGTCCGGTATACCGGAACGTACCCTGGTACTATATTATATGCCGGACCGTACCTCGCCTACTCCACTAACGAGTCTAGGGAGTCGCCTACGCCTACTCCCTAACCCTAACCCGAACCCTAACTGTAGCTGCCGGAGTTTGGCTTAGTTTGGAAACGATAGAGGGCGCGGCAGGTTAAACCTATACGCGTGAGTCACGGGACAGTGTGGAATACGGCGGCACACGCAAGGTTGCATTTCGTTAGTCGCTCGTGTAGCCAGCCTTTTCTATATATGTATGTGGATTCTGTAGTGAGGTAAAGGGATGTAAAGGTGTCACAAATCTTCGGTGAGTTACTAGTGGTTGTTCATAATCTTAAAGACTACCACTACCAGGACTGGCAGGAGTAAGATAATATATCCTATATTATCTTACTCCTGATACTACTAGTACTATTAGATAGGCCTACTTGTTTTGTTACGCGATCATTCATTATTCCTCGCCGACAACTCATTGAGTGATTTTGCGAAGAAATAATCGTTAATAATATCAACCCTCAAGCTTATAGTATTATACAGTAAATTTTTTGCACATATTATTACTACTAATACTAGTTACGGTACATACCGGTATACTTACTCACTGCATATTACATGTCTGTATATATTGGCCCATTCCTATTTGACAACCCCAGGTTTAAAAACCCTAACCATAACCCTAACCCTAACCAATCTCACGACATGGGTGTGTAAACGCTACTTGTACCTATATATTAGTTATATGATCAATAATCAATACATGCATATATGTCTGCGATTTATTAATATTATTATTAATTATTATATTATTATACTGCTACCGTACCGGGTTCCTAAACTAGACAGTAGACTCGCAGCTAGGGCCTGCATACCTCCCAAAATACCGACCAATCGGAGCGCTCGCAGCTCAGGCACTAAAGCTGAGCCTGATGCGATGTTTTGTGGTTGCATTATTTAAGCTGGCTATCCACCGTGAGTGGATGGTTACTGGTAAGGGTTAGGGTTTAGCTTTACATTTATCAGCTAGCCTTTAGTGCCTGAGCTGCGAGCGCTCCGATTGGTCGGTCGACGACGTGTCACTTTGGGAGGTATGCAGGCCCTAGCTGCGTGTCTAAACTAGTAGTTATTGTAGTAGGATTGAGCATACATAATATTACTTGTGTACTTATTACACCAACGACGAGGCGCTTGCATCATGAGCATTCATCATGAATGTACATGTTGCCATGAATGAATGTTTATGTTGAACATTGGTCATTAGTCAAGCCAACGTGACTACATTAATTGCATGTATCATGCATTTTGAACTTATGTATAACGTAATGTTATTGCGAGAAAAAGTGAATAGCTAAAAATTCGTTTTTTGCCATTATGGTGACACCATTTTTTAGCATTGCTATAAAATGTGAAACCTGCTTTAATACATAACATTACATAATAACTTCTCAGTCGGTGCCTGGATCTCCTCGTTCCATCTCATCACCGAGATCACCAAAATCACCAAGACACAGAGGTCCAGAGACATCTACAGCTCAGAAACAAGAATATGAAGAAAAACTGGTAAATCCTCAGCAATCACTTATAAAGAATAATATTCAAATCATAAATATTGTTTACTTTCAATACCTCTCCACTTATTGTCCCAAATTGGGAACTTAAATCATACCATCCCTATTTATATGTCCTAGAAGCACTTTTTTTTACTAATTCTTATGTACGAGTGATGATTATAGTGTGCTTCTCTACTTCTTCATATCTCTAGTCGACAGATCGATCGAATCGCTTCGATTTCCTCCTGCAACAGACCGAGATATTTTCTCACTTTATGGGCGACAGTTCCACAACTACGTCCAGTCCTCTTAAGATCAAGCCAACTGGAAGACCAAGGAAAGCTCCCGATGAGAAACAGAAACTAGCAGCAATCGGAGAGTACGTAAAAGGACAGGAGTGTTCACTCAGTCAGTTGCTCTGAGGTTTAAAGAGTTTTCGCAAATCATTCAGTCGCAATCAAAAGAAGGAGATAGCAATTGGTCGTACACTAATGTTTTGCATTGTTTGTTGTAGCCATCGACATCGCAGAACAGAGGAAGAAGAAGATGAGGAGTTACTTACGGAGGCGAAGAAGTCCACCACTGTTGTAACGCGATTCGACAATAATCCGCCATGTGGGTCACCTAGACGTGGCTTAGTAGTTAATAAGCTGTGTAGCTGCATAATAACCTGCTGTGTAGTTAATTAGATTTATGATCAGTTGAAGCTCGTGTAATTGTGTAAGTTTATATATAAACCCCAATCTTGGTGACTCGATAACACCTTATAATTATATATTTGTTTGTAGATGTGAAGAATGGGGAAATGAGAGATTACCAAGTTCGTGGTCTCAACTGGATGATCTCACTGTATGAACATGGCATCAATGGAATCTTGGCAGATGAAATGGTAAACACTGCACATATTTGGAAATACTCCTTGTACTCTTGTCACATCCATTGTCAGTTTTCTATGCTGGCTGTAGTAAGCAGTTTGTCACTGTAATCCCAGCGTGCTAATGTTACGTGATTGTGTTTTATTCACGATTTGTCACAGGGCCTCGGCAAGACACTGCAGACGATCTCCCTTCTCGGCTACATGAAGAACTATCGCAACGTGCCCGGCCCTCATCTCATCATCGTGCCCAAGTCCACGCTGCAGAATTGGATGAATGAGTGTAAGCGATGGGTGCCCACCCTCAGAGCTGTTTGCCTCATCGGTGACCAGGAGAAGCGGGTAAGCATGTTGATGTGCGTATCGCCTATTCTGTGTCTTGAACGCGCATGCCGTCTGCCTTAAATACCTTCGAAATTGCTGCCACCTCATCTGCGGTTTTGTAGGTATGTGTTTTTCCTGTTGAGTTCCCTTTTTATCCCCTTACAGCACAAATTCTCTGTTATTTTCCATCCGTGTAATTAGTGTTAATACATCTGCTAATAGCTATGTCTATATTCTACTGAAGATGTCGTGCGGCAACTGTATTTGATTGATGTTGCATGCTGTTTGCTTGTGTTGCGGCAGTCGACGTTTATCCGTGACGTGATGATGCCGGGGGAGTGGGACGTGTGTGTCACCTCGTACGAGATGGTCATCCGCGAAAAGTCTGTCTTCAAAAAATTCCACTGGCGTTATCTGGTCATTGACGAAGCACATAGAATCAAGAACGAGCAGTCAAAGGTATAGTCTAGGTTAACCTAACGTAGTGGTCGCGGCAAGCCATTGCTTGATGTTGCTCCCTCGTTACTTTGTTGTTGTATTGCTTCAAAACTTTGGGCTTTGGATTTTGTTGGGGGGAAATGCTACCAAAACTGTACGTGTGAAATATCCCTTGTTACTATCGATTATTATACCATGTAATATGATTACACTATTGATACGATCAAAAATGACCCTGTAACTAGTACAATTTTACATGCATTCATATTTCCTATCATATTTCAATAATTTTATATTTCAATGTGATACAAAATTTGTGCATAATTTACTGCTAGTCTGAATCCTAGCATCAACTAGTGTAATTGTAATACAAACACCAAATATATGTATGCTGTAGATTTAATATAATGCAGGTTATTGGCTCCAAAATATTGGACCGCTTTATATAGTGAGTCCGCATGATATCAAGTGTATGTATTTATGAATAGACAGGGTTCGAACTAGCATGGAAATGTCTTAAAATTTAATATGACTCCATGCGAATATATCTTCCTAGTTAACTAGAGTAAAACCTTTGACTGTCTTATAGGCGATCTGCCTTCCATCAAGTTGTGCTATATCAGGTCTATAGGGTAAATAATGATAGTGTATTAATTGACTTATCTTAACAGTTGTGAAGTGTAAATATATTTCTGCAACTATGTCTGTATGTTAATCATGTATAAACACTTAAACTAAAGCATCGTACACGTGTCATATTGTGAAGCTGTCAGAGATCGTGCGTGAGTTCAAGTCGACCAACAGGCTGCTGCTGACGGGCACACCGCTACAGAACAACCTGCATGAACTGTGGGCACTGCTTAACTTCCTGCTCCCTGATGTCTTCAACTCGGCAGATGTGAGTGTAAAGTTTGGGATAAAACACGTTTCGTCGTGAAATTTATTGGCTGATAATTTTTGGAACATACGTGAATGTCTGTTTGCAATGTGTGTAGATGAGAGCAGTGTGCATCTTGTTGCTATTGTAGGATTTTGACTCTTGGTTCAACAGCAACACCGTGACCATGCATGGTGATACGAAGCTGGTGGAACGACTCCATGCTGTAAGTATCGTCACCCGGGCGAAACTCTATTTTGTATGTATTCACTGCATACAACAAAACTAACCTGCTTGTTTGAGACGAGGTGTTCATGGATTTTTGAGGTGTTGGAATGCTTAGTTAATCTATGTAAATATTTAAGCTAACCATCTGTAATAAATTTGCATAAATTTCAATGCAACACTCAATCTTTGCTTTATGGAATTTTTATATTTATAGTGTTATGATGATGAAATTCTCAATAGGATCTTTGTTGTCAGTTCTACACACATGTTAATAATTCAATAATAATGTAATTACCAGCTGCCTCTGTTGACTAATTTCCAGTTCTTTTAACGTTTTACACATGGCCTAATGCATTATGATTTATAATTACATAATAGCCTATAGTGAAAATGTTCTGTCTTACATCTGGTAGGTTCTCAGACCTTTCCTCCTGCGTCGACTAAAATCTGACGTTGAGAAAAAACTGCTGCCCAAGAAAGAGACAAAGATATACATTGGTCTTAGCAAGATGCAGAGAGATTGGTGAGTTCACTGTGTAGACTCCGAAATATAAATCTATGTGATTGTTTTAACCCGTGCAAGACTGTCTGTCTGTCTGTCTGTCTGTCTGTCTGTCTCTTCTCGGTGATTGTGATTTAATGTATTGTGTCGCAGGTACACTAAAATTCTGATGAAGGACATTGACATTGTGAATGGAGCTGGCAAGACAGACAAGCTTCGTCTGCTTAACATCCTCATGCAGCTGCGCAAGTGCGCCAACCATCCTTACCTGTTCGATGGAGCCGAGCCAGGTAAGTGATAGCTCTAATTTACCTATACGCATGAGTGATAAAACCACACTCTCTGGTGATATTTACTAGGTATGGTAAGTTATTGTTTGACTAGTTCAAACTTGTTTCTCACATGTTCATGCAAAATTGTCAACCTTATAGGACTTTATTAATGAGGAACAGGCTTAGAATGCCTCGCTTGCAACAGTAATTGGTTAGAGTTGATGTTATTGTATACGGGTGGGTAGGTCTTAGGTAATAGATTTTACGCAGATCGCGTGATTATCAATACTAGTTCGCCTGTTTTAACGTTTGCTTGTTTCGCGTTTCAGGTCCGCCTTACACCACTGACATGCACCTCGTGACGAACGGCGGCAAGATGGTGATTCTCGACAAGCTGCTGCAAAGGCTGAAGGTGCGCGGCTCACGAGTGCTCATCTTCAGCCAGATGACACGCATGCTCGACATCCTGGAAGACTACTGCGCGTGGCGCGGCTACGACTACTGCCGCCTCGACGGCTCCACCGCGCACGAGGACAGGCAGGTGAGCGTGACGGCAAGGGGCGCCGGTGTCTATAAAGTGTGCTTGGTGGCTGATTTTACGTTGGCTGGTTGGTGGGTTTTATGGCTTGGTTGATTGGGTGTGTCAGTTAGTTCTTATGTAAGTCTGTGGGTTTGTGGCTTGGTTGATTGGGTGTGTCAGTTAGTTCTTATGTAAGTCTGTGGGTTTGTGGCTTGGTTGATTGGGTGTGCCGGTTAGTTCTTATGTATGTCTGTGGGTTGGTGGGTTGGTTTGTTGGGTTAGTGGATGTCTCTGAGGTTAGTTTGTTTGATTGGATGATTTGTTTGTTTGCTATACGCTCTGAATTCAAACATGAAACTATCACATGACTCTCAATGTCAATAGTTGAGCCCTTTTTTAAGTGTAAACGTTGATGAACATACCGTTAATGTTGTTGGTGTCACGTCGCTGTATCCCTATTACGGTGCATGCCTGAAGGGACCAGGGTAAAGCAAGCACTTTGTTGTCAAACAGAATTCCATAGACGAGTTCAACAGACCTGGCAGTGAGAAGTTTGTATTCATGCTGAGCACGAGAGCTGGCGGGCTCGGTATCAACTTGGCAACAGCCGACTCTGTCATCATGTATGACTCGGACTGGAATCCTCAAGTGGACCTTCAAGCCGTGGTGAGCTACTGTGCGATTATGTCGCAGCAGTATAAGATGGAACTACGTTCCTATAGTTGACCAGTTCCCACAGCTACATAAATATGTATGTTAATGCTGACATTGGAATGTTGTCCACAGCTAATTATAACTACAGCTTGCAGATTATTGTTTGATGTGTGAGAACTGCTATTAATGTTTTATCACGTCCGACAATGCAGCATAAGACTAAGGGCAATGTTTGATATTTGACCATGGCTATTAATCCATCTCATGTGATCACGCATGTGTGATAGCAATGTGTAATAGTAACACCTGCCCGTGTGAATTTGCATGTAAAAGTGGATCTGTAAATGTTGGACCATGTGTGTGCTTGTAAGAATAATATCTGACTACGCGTGTGTGCTTGTCAGAGTAATGTTTGACCACGCGCATTCCTGTAAGAGCGATTTTGAGTGCGTGCATGCATGTAATAGTAATTTCTTACGGTGGGTGTGTGCATGTAAGAGTAATGTCTGACTCGCTCACGTGTGTGTGTGTGTGTGTGTGTGTGCATGTAAGAGTAATGTCTGACTCGCTCACGTGTGTGTGTGTGTGTGTGTGCGTGCGTGCGTGCGTGCGTGTGCGTGTGCGTGTGCGTGTGCGTGTGCGTGTGCGTGTGCGTGTGCGTGTGTGTGTGCATGTAAGAGTAATGTCTGACTTGCTCACGTGTGCGTGTGTGTGCATGTAAGAGTAATGTCTGACTCGCTCACGTGTGTGTGTGTGTGTGTGTGCTTGCAGGATCGCGCCCACCGCATCGGTCAGATGAAGCAGGTGTGTGTGTTCCGCTTCGTTGTGGAGAATACCGTTGAGGAGCGCATCATCGAGAGAGCCGAAGTCAAACTGAGACTGGATCACATTGTCATCCAACAGGGTGAGGGGTGGTTAATCCTATATGGCGCATAGGGTGGTGCCTATCTTCGTTTCAGTAACCCTGAGGCCCCGCAGCTGCTTTCACAGTAAATGCTACAGTAGGGGGTTAGTCCACTGGTAGCACTGCGAGTTAACTTTCCACACTCGATCTCTTTTTGCTGAAGAAGCAGAGAAGCCGTGTGTACCATTTTTCAAGTCTTTGGTATGACCCGGCCGGGAGTTGAACTTCCGACCTTCCACATGCGAGGCGAGAGGTGATTTGAGGGGTGGTGCAACCCTAGATTCCAGCAGGCGTGCAGCGTCCCACGTCGATGATCTGGCGTAGCTGCGTGCTTGCGTATCCGGTTGTCTTAGTTCTCTGCCAGTTAATAATGATAGCGGTCACTGCAGTCATCAAATTACAGACATTTTGTCTACATTTGATGATGTTTAGAAAATTCATTCAATTAGTTAGCAGCCATTATCGCAGCTATTAAATTACTGACAACACTTTCTTTCCTGAGGATTTTATGCTTTTTATAAAATTCGTTCTATGAGTTAGCTGTTAGCAGATGTCACCACAGCTATTGAATTAGTGATGTAACATTTTTCTAGATGATTTTATGCTTCTAGAAAGTTTATTAGCTGTGTTTAATGAAGATTTAGTGCCACCCAAAGTAATGTTAATCATTTTTAACCATCCAAGAATAACTTTGGTTGTTAGGAATAGCTATTAGGAAGTTCATCACTAGCAGTACAAGTTTTTTTTATCAAAGAAAGCACTAATTAAAGTCTCATTCGAGCATTTCACTGTAAAACTTTTTTAACTGTGTCACTTACGAAGTAGATCCAACCATGGCTACCGGCTGTGTTAATCATGCGTCACGTGGTACGACTTGTTACTCGCCAGGTCGTCTCGTTGATTCGAACACGAAGTTGGGCAAAGATGAAGTGCTGAACATGATCCGTCACGGTGCTCAGCACGTCTTCGCATCCAGGGACAGCGAAATCACGGAAGAAGACATCGAATCAATCCTCTCTAAAGGGCAAACGAAGGTGTGACGAGTTGGCATCGCAGCATGTTCGCAGCATAGTATGGCTGTAGTAACTGATTTGATTGATTCGTAAACAAGATTGTTGTGGAAGTGGGCGCTTTGCCAAGGGTTCATCGTCATTCTTGTTTATTGAACCAATGGAGAGAATGTGGTCCAGTGAAGGAAATGAAAAGTGTAACTCTTACTAATTTTCTTGTTGTGCATAATAGGAGTTCGTCTGTAAAAGTTGTTTTTGATTATTAATAAGAGGTTGTTTAGGGGTTTTTATCTGTAGAGTGGGTATGTGATCGTTTTGTTGTTCCTAATACTGTTTCTCCTCTCATTTGCAGACTGCAGAACTTGCAAAGAGGATGGAAACGCTGGGAGAAGGTTCTTTACGCAACTTCACACTTGACATGCCAGAGAGCAGTGTCTACCAATTTGAAGGGGAGGACTATAAAGAGAAGCAAAAGGTAGGTGTGGGTGTATCGTGTTTGGTTTTGTCAGGCACCGCTACCTTTATTTTGACAAATATGGGAGCAGGGGCGTGATGGACTGTTGTGGGTTCCTGTGCAATAACCTCTGCAGGGTGGATGTTTTACTAGAGTTGTCTATTGGCTTTGGTGTACATGAGATACAATGCTATTACCGAAATGACCAAAAGCCTTGAAATTTTAATAGGAAAAGCTAAAGCTCTTGATCTGGTTAGTGAGCAATGCGTGATGAAATACGAAATCAACATAGTATAATTAAATTGGCTACTACTAGCATGTCCTGTTAATGTAGGGATGAAAGTACATGAAAACTTTGATGTAGGGAGAACAACTTAATAACGCTTGCGTGTCCTTAATTGCAGCTGTCGGGGATCGAGAATTGGATAGAGCCACCAAAACGTGAACGCAAGGCCAACTATGCAGTCGACGCGTACTTCCGTGATGCTCTGCGTGTCAACGAACCAAAGGCGCCAAAGGTCAGCACCTCAACAAGTAGTACAACTAGTATTACAAATGTGTGAAACAAAAATCATGTGTTGAGACATATATATCATATATCATAACAGCAATAGGCTCCAATATGGTCTGGTCATGTTGATTAAAATCTAGACGAAAGAACTGATGAAATTTTGCCGTTTTTTTACTGTATTGCTTGTGTGTGCTTTCAGGCCCCTCGTCCACCGAAGCAGCCGAATGTACAGGATTACCAGTTCTTCCCACCCAGACTGTTTGAACTTCTGGACAAGGAAATATACTGGTTTAGAAAGAGCATCGGATATAGGGTACCTGCACACTTGTGTGTGCTTGAGTGCACCTCGCTACCTCAGAATATCTTCTTCTCAGTAGTTCATTAGTAAATGATTTAATTGGCTGGTGACTATTAGGGTGACATAACTAAGTAGGAGGCAGTGCGAGGAAAAATAAACACTCTAAAACTAATTGCATCACTGAGGTACAGCTAGGCTTTGCAGATGTAGCGTTAGTAATTCTGCACGTTTTTGGGACAAACTACATGTCTAGAAGAAATTTTGTCAATCAAAAAACAATTATTAAAAATTGCATAGTAGACAGGTAGATATTACCATGTGTTTCTAAATGTTGTAGTGCTATTATTAGTATTTTTGCTATTGTAAATGTTTGCTTTGTGTGTTCAGGTTCCGAGAAACCCGGACATGGGCTCTGACGCACCTCGCGTGCAGAAGGAAGAGCAGAAAAGGATTGACGAAGCCGAACCACTGACTGAGGAGGAGATTGCAGAGAAGGAGAGTCTGCTGAACGAGGTATAACGCGATGTGACGATAATTACAGCCAGTGTGTTAGCCAGAGACTCGTCTACCTGTCTTTTGGACGACCTATTCTTGGATGAGACGGATGAAATTTGATAAAGACGGCATGAGGGCGGCCCAATTTTACCCTGCATGAAAATAAAATCATATCCTTCTAACAAAACCACAGCTTACAGCATTTTTAGCTCATCTGACATAGTCAGATGCAGCTTGTAGAATTGCATGAGCGTGCGTCCGTGCGTCCGGCCGTCCGTCCGTGCGTCAACAGTTGGGCACAAATCTTAACCGCTCGACGTATGGTCACGATATTCGGGACGTGGGGGGGTAATCCGAAAACGAGTTGGGATGTCGAAGCTGGGCGTCAAAGGTCAAAGGTCGAGGTGTAAAAGAAGGGGGAACATTCCCTCCTTAACTTAAGGTATAGGGAGGAAATGCAGAATTGCGGCACAAATCTAAACAGCTCGACCTAGGCTCGTGATAGTCGGTGTATAGCATCATGGTAGGAAAAGCCATCACTGTGCCGAAATTGGAGGTCACAGGTCAAAGGTCAATGGGGCACAGGGCAGATTTTAGACATTTTCTGAGGACATGGTCTGACGGAGCGATTGAAAAACTTTTTTGTTTCAGCGGTGACCTAGCATTTTTATTGCTTTATTGAAAGTACCATGAAATGTATTTTCTGCTGACATGCGAAGAGTAAGTGTCGGATAACCTTTTGACCCTCAAGAGGAGGGTTAAACATGGATTTGTTTACTGTCTGTTAGAAAGAATTTGACTGCCGGGTTTGCTAGTAGAATCTATACATGCCTGGATGTATGAGGCTACAATGTCACAGTGAAATTTCAAAAGTTAAATTTGGTTGAAGAAGGTTTATGCTCCTTAAATCGTATAATTTCTATGGCATTCTGTACTGTCAGTGTGTTACATGTAACGTATGCCACTGCCAGTGCATGTGGTGGTGGTACTGTGTAGTTTTTGCCTGCGTTAATTGGTTACATGTGGTAGCTCTCTATTGCAGCCTGTAGGCTTGCGTAGGTAAATGGATGAGTGCTTACCTATTCTGTCTTGCAAATAGTTGTTGCTACTACGTACGATGGGAGCTTCCATTTTTAATCTTAGGACACTTAAACGTACGCGCCATCTCGTGGCAACTTTCCTAACAATCCCAACGAACATTCCTTTGAGAAGGTTCCTGATACCATCCCTGTGCCTTCCACTGTTTTGGCGTGTATGTGAACACATTTGGGACTAATAGGGTTTACTAGAATCCCACCACTCCACCACAGAGTCACCGCAGTATACGTTAGATGAGCGCTGTTGCTCCGCGGCACTTGTTGCAATTGTTTTAACCAACTGAAGTTTATGCTTGTTAGACACAATTATTTAATAGCTCTATGGTGCTTTATTGAGGCACGTGGCTATGTTTTATGCACTCATGCTAAAGATGTGGTGTTCTCCACAGGGATTTACGTCATGGTCCAAGAGAGATTTCAATCAGTTCATTAAAGCAAACGAGAAATACGGCAGAGACGATATGGAGAACATTGCGAAGGAGGTTGAAGGCAAGACACCTGATGAGGTACTGAATGTGTTTAAACGCTAGCCTGTCACCGTGTTCTATGCTGTGCTTTTTTTGTCATTGATTTGTTTTACACGGTACGATATTCAGGCTGAGGGGAATGGGTCAGTTGCTGAACGCGTATTTCCGCTTACTACAATGAAGCTTGCTAGTAGAAGGCACCTTAATACTGTTATGCATGCTGTGTGATGGGGTTACAGGTGATGGAGTATGCAGCCGTGTTCTGGGACCGCTGCAATGAGCTCACTGACATAGAGCGCATCATGGCGCAGATCGAGAGAGGAGAGGCGAAGATACAGCGGCGAATCGGTATCAAGAAAGCTCTTGATGCAAAGGTATCGCTGGTAGAAGTCTCGAACGTAACTATTTTGTGATGAAACACTTCGACTCATGTTTGCACACCACCAATAAAATTGACAACGAATTTGTGCGTCATGCTCGTGATGACTTTTGGTGGAAATGTCGGACTCCGTGTCGGCAATTAACGTGGTCGATTTCTCGTTGTGCCGCTCGTGCGTCAGTCGTTTGCTTTCCGTCACACTAGATGGCACGCTACCGGGCACCGTTTCACCAACTGCGCATCCAGTACGGCACGAACAAGGGCAAGAACTACACAGAGGACGAGGACCGCTTTCTCGTCTGCATGCTACACAAGCTCGGCTTTGACAAGGAGAACGTCTACGATGAGCTTCGCACGTCGGTGCGCCAGGCACCTCAGTTCCGCTTCGATTGGTTCATCAAGTCTCGGACGGCGATGGTGAGAGCCCGAATCACAGCATTAACAATTCAGCATCATTGTTAGAGTAGCTTTCCACTCGGAAGTTTTAGTGCTGAAAGGAGCCATGTGTTGGCATTTTACAATAATAACAAACATTGATCATGACATAGTACATACTAATTATGTATAATAAATACCAACCAATGCTAGTTAACGACAATGCTCTCACATACAATTCAAAACCAATACATGAATATGAATTGACCACTGAAATACATTCAGCACCAGTGCCAATAACAAATTCTCTGTAGTGTCAATGATAATAATGCAATAATACAAAATGTGGCTTTTTATTTTTTCGGGTTTTTCTTTTACTTTTATCATAAATTATATAAATATGCTTCTACAGCAATGTGATCATCTGAATTAATATTAAAGGAGTCAGATATGTGTGCAGTCGAACCTGCAATGGTGGGAATCTGTATAGAAGGGCTACCTGTGTGTGAAGGCCACTTTGGGTGTGAGTGGGTGAGACAGTGGTTTAAGCTCGGCTGTTGAAGGCTATCTGGTGATAGTTTTTCGAATGATCAGTGTGTGGTGTATGGACGTGTTGATACACATGTCGTAACTGTTGCAGGAACTACAGAGAAGGTGCAATACCCTGATCACCCTTATTGAGCGAGAGAACCAGGAGATAGAGGAGAAAGAGAAGGCCGAGAGAAGAAAGCGCGGAGGAAAAGGTGGAACGCCTAAAGGCACCCCCAAGGTAGTGTTAATGACATTGATTGACAATTATTTCTTAATAAGCATCATGTGAATTATTAACAAACAACGTCGATTGAAGTAAAGATGCCACTATATTATTTTATGTTTAGACATAAATCGAGTGTGCAAGAGGTATCTATATAGTTTTTGTTAGTATTCAATGTTTCAGTTCACGATTCAATATCAGTTTTCAGTTCTTTATAGTTTTTACTGTGGTTTTTTGGTGCTACTTTAACATATATCATTGTTTCAACAGAAACGCAAAGCAGATACCGGAGCTGAAAGTGGAAGAAAGAAGAAGAAGTAAATAATACCTTCCTACGTTAATGCAAAAAGCAGATGTAACTCTCCAACTCTACCAAAGTTATAATCTGATGTATTTGCACTGTAAATTACAATTTATTTAGTTACTGGTTGCTTTCCAAGCTGTTGTACATGTTTGGACAGAGATGTACATGTGTGCGTGTGCATATGTTTGTGTATAATGCTTGTACATGACATGCTTTTCGATAATGGAAGCGTTTCTTTTAATTTGTGCTGCATGGTCAGAAATCTATCAGCTGAAATTTAAGAGGATTCACAATTAGTTCTGTGATCGTGCTTTGACCTTGAGGGATTTTCAGGTTACCGTAAATGCACAGCAAGCACAAAAGCAGTCGTGTATATTTTGATATCGAATTCAGTTTCATCTGGAGTAAACCAAAACGGTTTACATTAATCAGATTGGTAATATATGTCACTTCACAATGTTCCACTTCATTGTAGGTGATGGGTAACTACAAGCAGATGTCTAATTCGCTATGTGTATGTTACTGTATCATATAAATGTGTATGCACTGGTAGAACAAAGGGATACATATGAGGTAGCAACAACAAAACTGAGCTAATATACATCTTTACAGTGTTTGCATTTGTCTTGCAGTAATGTTGATAACAGAGTGGTCCAGTTGATCTGGTGTGCTGGCCAAGTGGGAGTATAATTATGCCGGTGTAGTGATCTTCCTGTGTGATGCTTCTTACACTACAATAGCACACGTCGATCAAGCAGCAAACGTTTTACTTTGTGTATATTTATTGCGTTTGTCAGTGGCCTCATTAACGGCCCATCCTTGCCTCTTATTCAGTGTCGGGAATAAATTTTGTAATAATAAAATTACCATACGGCTTTCTGTGGCATTCTTTTTAAGGAATATTTCACTTGCATTTCTACGCAAGACGAGTCGCACAAGTGTTTAAAAACCTGTAACATACTACAACGACTGACCTTGAATATATTTGAACAGTGGATCTAGATTAGCAATGAGTAGAAATCCTAAGGCAAACATACCAACCCCAGGCACTGCAAGTATAGTCATCGTTTTATGTACACAAATACCAGATTGAATTTAGATAGTGTTGTTTTATTCGAAAACCAGGTCTACGTTGTTTTATACATAACACGACATTCTCCTCTAACAAGAATTTTCACATGTATTGCAATTCTGTATAGTAACAATTCCCTAACGTGCTCGTTCAGCCTCAGGTAAGGAGCTTAAAAAACTAAACGAGGGGAACGTGATGGACGAGACAAGAACGTTGTCATTAAACATCTCTCCTTGGTCACTGAAAACCACGCTATAGAATAATAAATTGAAGCTAAACCCTGTCATTTATAAATATTCTATAGTATACTTTAATAATATATTTCTCACAGTTCCAAGTGAACATATAGTGTTCCTATATAATAACCACGAGGCATATTCTACAGTTTCTAGTTAATATGTAAAGTCACAGGCCAGACAACATTGTCAATAAATGAACAATAACCATTTGATACTTTCTCGTGGTGAATAAGTGGCAAGCACACGCAAACTATAGCAAGGGAATGACTTCCCAACGAAATTTCCCTGGTAATCCATGATTCTGTTGAATGAGTGAAACTGTTACACCCTCCCCCCCGAAACATTCCCTCACACATGAATTAGTGATTAGTTACTCAGATAGATGTGAACTGCCCGTGGAATACAGCTATCACAGTGCACAGGTATCATACTGCATTCCTGCAGGCGTACGGCAGCAGCCGTCGTGGCAGAACACCAGCTGTAGAATCAATCCATCTAGGTGCAAAGCTCGTCAAAAATATGCAAGTTGTAATAGTTACGCAGAGGTTTCGTTAATAAGTATGTTAGACATATGATAGCACAAACAACATGCGCGCATATAAAACAGGACGGGCCCTCTTTGAGAAGCATAGTATTCATAGGGTGGCAATTACTAAATACACTGCGAATATAAACACCAACAACGGGAACAAGACAACTACGTAACAATAAGTAAGTATTGCAGCCTAAATCATTTGTCTCTAGCAGTCATTAAGATGAGTCCGAGACAGCACTACGCGAGTACAAAAGTAAGGAACATGACAGTAGATTAACCCAACATGTGTTCTACCCGTGTGGTTTCTGATTACTTAGAAATGCATAAAGTGTCCAGTCCCACACACATTCTCAAAAACACTACACATGGCTAGCTGCACACGACCACCACCTCAATGTATTTTCTTGGCGATTTCTGTTGCCATGTGGCGTCTTAATTTCTGTAGACGTGATAAGTGGACCTAAATGAGATAGCAGTACAGGTGCTATGCAAGTGATAACTCCTGAATGACAGAACAGTGTGTATCTCCAATACCAGTGCCTTCTACATGCCATTTGCATTACATACACAGGACGCGTGTCATGTATAAAACCAATTAGTCGCCTATGAGTCAGCAAGTGTTGGTGAGCTCCATTCTTAATCTCCATCTCATCAGTACTTGTAGACATTTCCACTCTTGACTGCACTCCGTTTTTATACAGCAGGACTTTACTCACTGTACAAGACGTTACATAGCACAAGAAGTACCAGGACAGTTTTCAATAATTTTCCATATCAAATGCGCACGTTTTTAATATATATATATATGGCATGTAATACTGTGCCTATATGGACTATGTGGTCTTTTATAACATGCCAAAGCCCTTAGCATAGCTGATAGCTTTAAGTAGCCTATCCTTCAGTTTCTCCTTGTTTGAGTACTCTGGTAGAAGCAGAACGTTGAAACAAGTGTGAGCTGTTGGCAACCTGCCAAATGCAAAAACCAATAATTGGTAAAAACTTGCAAACTTGCGGGCCAGAGATTCATTCATGAAACTACAAAACATCAATTTTAAAACTAACACTAGTCGGTTAACAATATAAACTGCCAACTGATGAGAATATGTTAATTTGTAAAATTATAGCACCAATAAAAACTGACGATGACAATAAAATATTTTCATGGCATGTCTCGATTTTCCGTGGTCGACTCAGCAGTGAACTGTGGCAGTAAGATATTACCTATCCGTGTCAGGTCCATGTCGTGCTATGATCATCTTCAATTTAGCTAGACCACCGGCTGGCACACGATCGCTCCCAGTAGCAAACATGAGCAATGACTTCTTCTGTTCCTCAGCCATCTCATGAACTATCTCCCAGAAGTGCCTGAAAGCAGAGAGAACACAGCATTCAATATGGGACAATGTTAACAACATAGGAAAATGTGCATCAGCACATGCACAGTACAACAATTGATAATCCGAATTGAAAGTAGAAAGTATTGAAGACGACTAACGTAGCATTCAACATAAACTTTTAATAGAATATTTGAATTAAAATTACTAGAAATCATTCGCCCCTTGACCTTACCTAATGGTGGAGTGATGTTTCGAGTAGCCATTGTCATATTCTGTAGTTTCTTCTAATGCGTTGAAATCAAAGTCCTGCAACGATATATAGCGTTTTAGTGTCTCTTGGCAACGCCCGATGGCGCCAGCAGTCGAAACGTCGTGAATATAGCAGTAACCTTAGGCAAGGGGACCTACCCAACGTAAATGATTACCGCTCCTGATCTTAACGGCCGCTAGAGAGCCTACTCACCAGAGCGTTAACCCCTTACTTTATGAAAGTGGGTGGCTGCTGACTGAGCCAGACCGACCAATGAGTGAGCAGGTCGCAGCGACTGTGATTAGGTCGTCCAATCAGCGAGCAGGCTTTTGCCTGACGTCATTTCTCATGTTATTCTAGTTGAATTTATAACTGAAATTAGTGCACGCTTCTGCCAAAGCCATTAACTGGATTGTTTCCATTCATCATGTATTCGCATGGGGCGAAGTTTTGCCGTATTTACTTCTGTACAATCGATTGCTCGCCGCTAATCCGATTCCCCGCCATAAGTCAAACACCGTTTTCGATCGATCGATAACGAGGCTCGCGAAGAACCGCTGGCGCGGCACTCGCTTACAGGCGTTAGTGTAGCCGTGCGGAACATAACGACTGTATTATACAGGTTAGGACCTACCTAGTATGTCCGGATGCGTGAACTGGCCGTACTGTCGACACCCGGACTCTGCTATCACCAGAGCGCCTCAGTGCTACTGCGCTCGACCCAGCAAACGTTCCAGCTCCGGTGCGGTAGCGTGATTAGTCAACAATGCGTATCTCACACCACCCAAACCCCGAGAGAGTGCCCACACCCCTATATGTGTCAGCTGTTCATATTGCCCGCACCGCTCTCCACCGCTAGAGGAGGGAATACCGCACCCAACATGGCCGCCCCCATACAGCGACACAACATCAATTGGTGAGTGGCAAAACATTACGAAACGCACACTAAAAGACCGTACACATCACAAATAATTATACAATCATGAACACAGATTACAATATTTACACATACTCTGCCTGTGGTCCCCAGAGAGCTACTTCACACACAATTACGTTACCTCGCTGGGGAACCCGTGGTGACCGGTGCCACCGCCACACTCTTCCCCTCCTCAAGATCGGCCATCAGGTCGATCCCGAAGGATCACCTGGCGGTGCACCGGCACCCGGCGCAGAGGAGCCAGGGACGTAGCCTGCGGGAGGGGAGGGGGAGCCTAGATTTCGGAGCAAAATTAAAAGAATGAATTGTTCTACTAAAAGAGAATTGTTGTAGTCAGAATGAAGGCTGTACATGTACTCAAAAGTACCTCAAATACCATCTCCTGCGTCATCTACAATTTCAAAATTTTCTGTGAGGAGGATGACCCCCAGAACCCCACCTGTTTCTCAGCCCCTCATTGAAATCCTGGATCCGCCACTGCCCCCCTAGGAATTTGCTCAGCTTACGGCCCTGGGAGCACAGCTGGATCTACTGCGGTGCTGGCTTGTCCCCCTCCGCGCCCTTCGGGGCCATCAACGCTCAGACAATGCAGGTCCTCCTCGGCCTGGTCCTCGAGCTGCTGCCCCATTCGCTGCAGGACTCTTCCCCAGGCCATGGCCTGGCACAACTGGACCACGCTCATCTGCTCTAGGCGTTCCAGCACCGCCCCACCATCAACCCAAGCCCTGAGAGCAGCCGGGGGCCGGGACATCAAGACCCAATACTCCCTAAACCCGGGGTAGAGGTCAGGAGGCGAGGCACTACCAGACGATGCAGCCCCAGGTAGCATTGGGTGTGCGTCGCTGCCAGCAGTCCAGCTGGCACTGCTGTCGCCGGTGCGGACATCACCTCTGATGCCGACGCTCGCCTCCTGGCGGCCGCCGACGCTCGCCTCGTGGCGGCCGCCGACGCTCGCCTCATCGCTGTAGACGGCGCTACCCCGGAGGCATGTATCTTCGCCCTCCAGGGCGCTGGCGTGGATGCCTCCCGTTTCAACGCCCCAGGAGCAGGCACCGGCCTGGGTGGGACACCTGCCACCGCAGCATACGCCCGGCCATCCCTACGAGCTGGGCGTGTGATGGGGCGCGCGCTCGCCGTCGCTGCTGGGGCCGCACCTCGGACAATCGGCGCTGGCCCCATCGCTATCCCCAAGTATCGGGTAGTGCACTGATGGAACTTGGGAGTCTCGCCGTATCTTTCGACCCACCCCGGCGCCACGTCCCTCCCGTACTCCCGCCACAGGCCATGCTCGGCCACGAGGTGCTGCGCCAGACGGTAGAGGACTGCGCTTGGTGTGGTGAACTCTCAGCCCTTCACCGGGCACGCCGTGACCCAGCACTCCTTCCGGTGGTACTCGGCGTGGTGGTCGACGACGTGGCGGGTGGGTACCCCGCACCCGATGCACCAGTGCCACGCCCCGTTGGTCAGGGACGCCACAGCTCTGGCGCGGCCTCCGAAACGGGAGTGGGACGGGCCCTCTCCAGCTCCGATCTGCTCCCGGGTGGGGAAGTGTCGCTGCACGTACGGCAGCCGCTCTCTCCCCGAAGCGGCGAGTGGGGTCGTGACCCCCACCGCGCTCGTGCCCGGGCGGTCGGCCAGCCACGCAGCTGAGCCATTTCGGGCCACACCTGACGCTCTAAAGCGGCCTTCCTGCCCCGCTCCCCCCTCTCGGGTTCGGGCCCAGCCCTCTTCTGCCGGGGACCAGGGTGGGGTGGCCCCTGCCGGCCGCCCCAAACCCCTGGCGCAGGGCACTGCTCATTCTGGGTAGCTGCCCCAACCCTCACTGCCTCGCCACCAGCGCAGGGTCTCTCGGGAACCACCGTTGGCTCCTCCTCATCCCTCGCCGCCGCAGCGCGCTCCTCTTGGGACGCCGTCTCCGCCGAGGGAGACAACAACAGCTCGTCAGCGAAAGGAATCTCCGCCCACCCCTCGCCGAGCTCCATTGCCTCCGGCCTCTCTCCGAGCAAGTCCTCCTCCTGAGTCTGCTCCCCGGCCTCCAGGGTAGCCTCTCCTCCAGGCTGCGTCTCCTCCCCTCCAGGCTGCATCACCTCCCCTCCAGGCTGCGTCTCCTCCCCTCCAGGCTGCGTCTCCTCCCCTCCAGGCTGCGTCTCCTCCCCTCCAGGCTGCGTCTCCTCCCCTCCAGGCTGCATCTCCTCTCCTCCAGGCTGCGTCTCCTCCACTCCAGGCTGCGTCTCCTCCCCTCCAGGCTGCATCTCCCCTCCAGGCTGCGTCTCCTCCCCTCCAGGCTGTGTCTCCTCCCCTCCAGGCTGTGTCTCCTCCCCTCCAGGCTGCGTCGCCTCTCCTCCAGGATGCGTCTCCTCTCCTCCAGGCTGCGTCTCCTCTCCTCCAGGCTGCGTCTCCTCTCCTCCAGATTGCGTCTCCCCTCCAGGTTACGTCTCCTCCCCTCCAGGATGCGTCTCCTCCCCTCCAGGCTGAGTCTCCTCCCCTCCAGGCTGAGTCTCCTCCCCTCCAGAATGTGTCTCCTCTCCTCCAGAATGCGTCTCCTCTCCTCCAGGCTGTGTTTCCACCCCTCCAGGCTGCGTCTCCTCCCCTCCAGGCTGCGTCTCCTCCCCTCCAGGCTGGGACTCCTCTCCTCCAGGCTGGGACTCCTCTCCTCCAGGC